AAAAATAATTAGTCGAATCCTACCAAATGTATGCGAGCGTTACACATCGGAGTTTCGATGGTTCAAAATAATTCACCCTCCACAAAAAAGTGCAATTCCTAAAGAAGTTTTCACTTAAAAAAAAATCTGATGAGAACTTTTTTTAAATTATTTATTTATTGAATAATATAACATTCTTTCAATTGAACATGATGAGGAACAGAAGGGAAAAAGGTACTGAAGTATTTTGTCTTTGCCTACTTACATGATGATTTTAGTTTTCTCATCGGCGGAAACTAAATGCTGACGAATGACCACAAAAAGTGCCTAAATATCTATGCGGTAATAAACAAGCCACCCCGGTAATCCGCGGGCGATTCGACCAGAGAGATAAATGGTTTTATTACTAGCGTCCTTTGAGGCAGATTTATCACGAGTAGTCTCAGCTGCCCCAGTCAGACCCAGAATTATGAGACCCGCCCGCAAGCAAGAGGACAAACAACGGCAAAGACGACCCTGCGAATTAGACCATGCTCTATTAAAGAAGCTTTTAAACCCAAGTCCACTATTAATTCATAGCTGTACTCTAAAAAATTAAATTACGAAGTAACCGTATAAAACTAATTTTTTTAAATAATTACATTTTTAAGCTTGATTGCTCAATTAGTGTTTCAGTTATCCGCTATAAGGTATGTAACGATATTTTGAACGAATGGCTGAACCGATTTTTAAGTTTGATATTTTAATTACACGGTCAGGTCCCGTGTATTGAAATTGAGCTAAACACATTGACCAATGATTAAATAAAATGTGTTTAATCTATTGGAAAAAAGGTATGTAGGATTTTTTTGAGAGAGAGGTTAGAGCGATTCGATGAGATCCCGTGAGCGTTTTAAAAGAATCCGAGCTCGAAATTCTGGCAAATTACTCTGTAAAACTTATTTAATCAATCTCTTAAAGGTACGTATCGATGTTTTTTTTAGGATGACTTGACCAATTTTAAACTTTAACGGCTGTAATTACTCACAACCTGTATGATCCCGTGAACATTTTGAACCATTTCGTGCACAAAATTTGAAATTTTTTTTTATTATAGTTTAAGTATTTATCACTGCAAAGAGGCTTGAAATTTAGATCACTCTTTAAAATAATTAAAATCAAAACTCAGAACGCATGCTCAACTCCTGAAAGAGAAGAATATGAAGAATTTCTGAGAATGGAATACAGAGATGGAGAAATAATGAGGATCTGCAGGAACTGTATGAGGTATTTTTTTTTTTTTTTGGTAGGTAATGTGGAAATAATGCCCGACCAAAAAGAGGATGATGTATGAGAGGCCGGATGGCAAAAGAAGTAGAGGACGCTCTCGGACCAGAAGGCTGGACGATCTGAGGTGGCTGGGCGTTCGAAGATGGAAGGAAATAGAACAAGACCGTGGAGATTCGTTGGCTGTAGTGGAGGATGTCCATGTTCTTTTAGGGCCATAGCGCCATTGTAATAATCATAATAATAAAAATTTCGATTAAGAATTGATTTAAGTGTTACCATATGATCATATGTTATAAAAATAAATTGTTAATATTTAAAAAAATAAATATGTTAAAATAAAAAGATATTTGATTTTGAAAAAACAAACATTGGTTTTTCTACAGAAATAATATCCATCATAAGAGAATGTAGTTTCATATCTATTTAAACAAATTGATAGATTAATAAGGAGATTGACATCTAAAATTATTTAAACTTGGTGTAGTAGTCAGATACCTACCACCCCCAAATAAAACTCAAGACTCGGGACGGGAATTTACATGCAATGAAATATGGTACGAAATCTATTTGTCTGAAGGCGTAATATACATGTGAAAAACCACCCGTCTATTACACCAAGTTTAAAACTACATTAAGATAAACTTCCTTATCAATCTACAGTTTTTTTGTTTTTTTTTTGTCTCTCCCTATCTCGCCTTTTAGATTATATGAGGATTTTTTCGGGCCATGGGAGAGGGCGGAGGAGTAATTTCAGAGTTAAAAGTTAACCCCACTGGCACCAGGACGCGAACTTGTTCTATTATATGTTTTATAAAGTTCAGTTTATCAATCACCTGTTTGCTGGACAATGCGTGTGAAAAACACGCATAAGTCAGCTCGGCTGCCCCGCCCTTCCTCCTCCCTATCAATCTACCAAGATGTTCAAGTAGATACGGGTGTACATTCCCTTGGGATAGATTCGAATACTTTTTTTTTTTAAACCTAAACACGATAACCAAAAAATATTTCGGCGTAAATTATGGTTTATTTAAAAAACGGCAAATTTTAGATATTTAAAACACAGGACTCGCTATAGTTGTTTTGGATCTATACTTAGTCTTGATTTCCACTTTCAGATCTATAAAACAAAGTTTATTTTATCTGAATCCAACAAACTTCGAAACCATCTGAGTTTTAAAACCTTCTAATTTCAATGACTTTTACTAAACTTGAAGAAATTTAAGGGTCAATACCGAGCGAATGTCATGGAATCTCCTGATACATCATTCATCAAAATCCATCGCTCATGAGTGCCGGAAAAGGGACCTATGTGTTATAAATAGTATAGATTATTTTTAAATATTAAACAATTTTTCTAAATTCGTATTGAGGTAAAAAATGTTTCTTTTAAGACCTAAAAGTTGCCCAGTTGAAAATTAAAACATGGACTTGAGTCTCAGAGAATTGTAATTCAGATGGAAATTACAAATCTCTGTATACCCGAGCTACATCAACCAACCATTGACAAACCACAGAAAACTGATAAAGATAAGGTTATTGCAATTACAACACTAAAAAGGAACTTAATGCAAAATTTCTGGTTTTATGAATTGCCGTAAAGAGATGTTGGTGGATGCTGCTCTTCCTATTCCTCTTCCTCTTCTTATTCCTGATGCTAATTTTGTGTAATATAAGTTTATATTTAATAATAATTAATATTTTTGTAAGAAAGAATATAAATTACGGTGTAATTAAATAAACATTATATGTATATATAAAGTATAGTGTTTATTCAATTACACGGTAATTCATATTCTTTCTTAAAAATATATGAATTTATTTATATATTTATATATATTAGGAAGAGTTGAAAGTTTTTATTGAGAAAATATACAATCTCTACCACAGTCTATGTACCAGCAGTTTTTATTGTATTATAATTATTGTATTTATTTATTTATAGGTCCTTGGTTTCTATTCCTATCATTTTTACCATATCATTTTTTTTGTGAATCAACAAACAAGGAATTGATTACAGATTACTATGAAATATAAGAAAATATAGGTTTTAGATAGATAACTAAATAAACAATACTTTTATGATATAACATTTTTTTGTGAGTCAACAAAGAAGGAATTGATTCCAGATTCCTTTTGTATAGCAGATTTCGAAATATATCGTTCTGCCGATAAACTATATTAATTTATGATTCAATGTAATAATTTATGTCCCCTTTTTTTCCTAAAAGTATCATTTGCAAAAACTAAATTTTAGATAAAAAATTACAAACAATATTTTAAAAAAGTAAACTGTAATTATTTTAAAATTAATAAAAATGTATGCTAAATTATTTCCTCTATGAATGATAAATATTTCTTTAAAAAAAGCATCATCAGCAATTTAACAATCATGTTCAAATAAAAATAAAGCTTAACTACATATATTATATTGTTTTGTTTATTCACATATTACAAAAAAAAATCTACAAAAAATCACAAAATAGATAATTTGATGTAATAGAAATATATTTAAATCAAACTTTTTTTTTTTTATGATTATTGTTTTGAAATTAACTTGAGTAATATGTGAGATATTTTAGAGCTTTTTTTTTTTTTTTTTTTTTTTTTCCTACCCCCCAGGAATTTCTTGAATAGAGCTTTTATTAATACTAAATGTTAAATTTGAATAAAATTTAATTTATAGGCTTTATGGGAAGATCGTGAAACCGGCATTTTTGTCCACAAAATTTATCGTTCTTGTTTTCACATTTAAATGTTTACAATATTTGAGAGTTTCTTTCATGCCGTCGAAGTGCATAAAAATATCGCAAGCCTAGTGACGGCAACACTTGTTACTCCTTTTGCCAAGCAGATATCAAAATATGTCGTTCTTCCGATAAACCATATTAATACTCTAAATAGTAATAGCTTATGTTACCTTTACATTCTCAGAGTATTATTTGAGAAAAATAATCTCCAGATAAAAAATGACAAATAATATATTTAAAATAAAAAATAAACTGTGAATTATTTTAAAATCAATAAAAAGAAAAATGTAAATTTATACTAAATTATTTGTTCTATGAATTATAAATATATTTTTAAAAGAAGCATCAGCAGCAATCCAACAAGCATATCCAGATAAAAATAAAGTTTAACTAAGTATATACATATATATATATATATATTATTAGAGATCAATTTGGTGTTATCGGATATATATTAAAATTAACTTATAAATTAATCAACATTTCTTTATGATTATTTCTTAAAAATTTATTTAATAAAAATATTAATGTTTTAAACCTATTATAAAACTGCATTTATAGGTTTAGTGAGAGGATCGTAAAACCGGGTTTTTATTCCAACGTAATTGAAATATAAAGTAATAAAAGCAGGTCATTATTGTGCATCATTTATTTCACAAAAGGACATATTTAAGATGAAATTACATTGATAAAGGATTGTTGAGGTGTTGTCCTATTTATATGTTAAATGGAAAGGTTTTTTAAGAAAATAACCTGAAATTTCTTTATAATTTTTTTTTTTTGTGAATATAACATTCTATGTATATTTTATATTTCATTAAAGAAGGAGATGAGCCAAGACAAATAAATGATAAACAAAATTTTTTTTTTCGTACTCTGAGTACTTTGGGATGTATGACTGAGACATATAAGAGGTGTGGGATGGAGAGATGAGGAGATTGGAGGCGATGTTGACCCGGCACACCGACATGGGGGACAAGTCATGCCTTACGTTCGACTACTCACCGTGAGAGAGCGTGACCCAACAGAGAGTGCGGCCGGGGCTGTACTGGCCGGCGGGGTGCCGGGGACGGGGGTTGTTGGCCGCGCCTGCGCACGGACGTACTCCTCACTATCGCTAATGAATCAATCCTTTTAGCTCTCTCTATCTCTTTCTCAGCCAAATCACGAGGGTGTCGTTTGCTTTTTACACTCGCTTCTCCTCCTAGTTCTTATCTCCCACAACTCCCTTCGGCCAAGGGGTGCCCTCTATCCTTACTGTTATAGTCCTGTTTACGATGTTGTTAGGGCCTCTCATCTTCAGCTCTAGGGGTATGGCAAGCGTCCCGACTGGAGTTCGTCACGCTAACATCCCCCTACTAACCCACAATGTACCGAATTCGGACCCGGTACTACTTCTAGAATAAGCTTTGTCGAGACGGACTCAAGAGATATAACTTAAACAAACAAATAGTTTATTCTGCTGAATATGATTAGAACTCGAAGTTCAAATGGAAATCTAACGTGCATTCATTTATCTTTTAGGTGTCCCTATAAACCCAAAATATAACGATTTCGAATCGGGTGCTGCTTCTAGAACAGGCATTATTGAGATGAACCCAAAAGAAGTAACATAAAGTAAAACATAGTTTATACTGCTGAGTGATCCACAATATATCGAATTTAAATCAAGTGCTGTTAGAATACGCGTTGTTGTGACGAGCCAATAAAATATGACGTAAAACTATCATACACCCCTTTCCCCTAAATTCGACCAGAAGTTCGAATGGAAGTTTATAATTTTATCTTTTGGGAGACACTACTGACCCACAAAATATCGAATTCGAATTCGGTACTGCATCTAGAAGACGCGTTGTTGAGATGAACCCAAGATGTTTTATTTGTAACTCCTCAGTTAGAATTAAACTAAAGTATAGATAACATTACACATATGGTATAATATATAATAGTATTAACGGAAAACCTTGAGAAAGTACTTTCTTACCGTCCGATAGCTGCTAGAAGCAGCTTGGCTCCTCCCGGACTATTGCATTTCCCAGATCCTTACGGGGCATCGGCGAGTCGGAGCAAAGAAAGTTGAATTTGGTGTAACCATATATCGCATATACATAAGTTGTAGAGTACCGGAAATCGCTGAGTACATGGTACCGGCCTGTACCGCCTATGAGTCACTCAGGGCGAAGCTGTTGAGGGAGACAGGCCTATATGTCCTTATGATGAGTGAACTTCCTCAACTAAACTGGAAAGACAATTACGAGTTCTTTAAAATTTCATTTACGGACGGAACGAAATAGTTCCACTTCTATCAGTAATAAAAGGAGCTGCGCCAGGTAGGCTACCGGAATGAGAAGAAGAGAAGAAAGTTGAACTTAAGAAGGAACTGCGAAGCAAGGAAGAAGAAAAATGTAAATTGCTTAAAGATGCAACAGTGGATTGCTATGAATAGTAACATCCCGCTGCTGCAAATACCCGCATGCTGCAAATTACCTGTATTAATAGAGAACGTTGGAATAAATAAATAAATATTATAAATACATAATATTTTCGTAATATCCTTTATAGAAGACGTTGGTTTTGTTTTAGTCGTAAATTTGATATTTTAGATGGCCCGGAAATATTATTTATGGGGTCCTTGGTTTCTCTTCACGGCTCTTCATAGAGGTAAATATACCACGGATCAGTACAGGGGATGAAGGAAGTCTGAGGGCTGGAAGTTGTTAACAATTGATATTCTTATCGTTTAATATTGATAAAAGTGCCGAGAGAAAGGAGCCTTTTGCTAAGTTATTCTTCCTAAAGTTGTGATTAGGGATCTATTGAGAATGCTTTAAGATAACTAATTCTAGGGGTGGAGTGGTCTATAGCCTAAAAGACGAAGAAGAGAAAGATAAAAAAAACTTGTTTTCCAAATTTGATCCAATTCGAACGAGCTATTTCTGAAATATTGGTAAATATAAGAAAATACATTTGCGCGTGCGTAAGCAGAAGTGCTACATGGAATTTTATAAAATTGATATGGGACCATCTAGGCAACAATCAGCATAATCCCTAAAAATTTCATGAAAATCAGATGAACAATACTGGGTGATATGAAAGGTTAGTGTTGCCCAAATGCGAGACCGATACGAGTCTTAGTCTTGCAAATTCAGTCTTGGTCATGCACCAGAGTCTCTCAACAGTCTTGCAGTTACTTATTAGCTGCAATACTATAGAGATCTTACTGTAATATTTTAGATAGGGGAAACCTAACTAAGCCCGATTGAAAAATTAGAGGGGTTAAATGCAAAAGTTTATTGGTTATACCGATTATTAACATATAGTAAATAAGATTGTCAAGTATTAGCAGCTATTTTGCCTTAATTTTTTATTAAATAAATCGATTTTTTTTACCACTTCTGGTGTTGGTCTTGGTCTTACAAAGATCAAGACCGATTTTGGGCAACACTATGAAAGGTGATACGACACTGAGCCAAATTTAATTCTTGATGTCTGAAACGTAAAAAGCGAGTGGAAATTTCCGATTCTGAGCATAAAATATTTTTTAACCTCTCGCAGGAACACAATGCTTCCCTATCTTCGGTAGTGAGGAAGCAAAAAAGCACTAAAGCATTTCTTCCTTATTTATTGTAAGCATAACTACGTAATTAAGCTATACATTTATATGTTAAATTGTGAAAAATTTTGAGAGGTGAAATTGTAAACAAGAAATGAGGAAGAAATTGATTATTTCTTCAAGAAAGAAAAGACGCCTAGAAAAATTGATTGGGTCAGGGCGCAATCCTGCTTAATTCAGGCTGGATCAAACGGTATAGAAACGCTAAAATGGTACGTCTAACGTGGAGATCAAACGGAAAATATACTGTAATAAATTTGAAATAAAAATAAACTTCCAAGAAAGAACGTAAACAATATTATGTAAAGAAATGATCAGGGCCGTGGAGAGAAACTAAGGATATCAAGGACAAATTTCCTCAGGTAGATATAAAATATTGATATGAAACCAAACGTTTTAAAAAATACTACGCTATTATTATGTAATATAGGTAAAGTTTTGTTTAAGAAAATTTAAGAGGTAAAAACTAAAATCTGGTCGACCGGGTACTATCCGTGAGGTCTGGAAACGTGTCTCACAACTAATTTAACTTGGACCCTTCCATATCTTGTTTGTGTTCCTCAACTCTGTTTGCCCCTTTATTCTTCATTGTCTTTTAGTCATATTATAGTTACGAGTTTGTATGGTTGTTAAGGATGGGATGGGGAAGAACATCGGAGAGTCGTGTTCCATTACTCAGAGCGCGTAGCCAACTTTTCTCTGTCGAACGGACAAATTACACTGCGAGACCATACGACCATAAAAAGGCACGACAAGCGCTCCACGGCTATTTTAGACGGTGTAGACCACACCGGCAATGGCACCAGCAAAGACCGTCTCGTTGGTCTATGATAATGAATATATCCAAATCGCAAGCAGCTTAGAAGTGAAGCCGAAATAGAACTTAAGTTTTCATTGATGTCTTTCAGAGAACATGTGAATCTGCAGAAAAAAACGTGAAAAAAAATGCTTAACATTAGGAACTTATAGGACTTTTTCCCCTAATTTACAACATTCCCTCTTTAAATATCAGTATCCGTCATCCAACCAACTGAATGCTTAAAAACATTTTTTGAAGTGAAATCTAATGAAGAATTTTATGTCAAGCCACTAACTTAAAAATATAGCATTTTTCTATTTTTTTTATTATTATTTAAGAAACGTTATTACTATCATAATTTCATTTTGTGAAAATAAATTCTTGTCCGATTTTATAAATTAATCTTGACAAATATAAAATACAATTTATGATTGATGATAACATTTGAATGATTGTGGTACATATATATTAATAAGGTGTTAATATATATATATTAATGTCGTATGGTTTTGACTTTGATCAAGATTTTTGTTTTGAAAGGCCTCTGGTTTGGATTCTTGAGAAATGTATCCAAAATGAACGAAGGTCTTCCTCGAAGAACTAGGTTTTGATGATATTGGCTCAGGAGTTCGTGATATTGGCCGAGAACATTGTTTTGGACTCTCTGTGGGTCATCTATTATCACCTATTTATCAATTAGTTATAGCAATAATAATAATGTTCTTTATTTCGATTAAAAAATAAATTACATTACAACGATATGCCCTACTAAAGTCTTTTTTTTTTTTTTGTATCTGTTTATTGAGAAATAATACATTTTGCCACACTTAAGGGCACTAAGTACTAACTAAGGCTGAGTGAGGCACATTCATACCATAAATACAATACCATAAAAATAAATAAATAAATAAAAAATAAAAAAATATAAAATCTATATAACAAAGGCAAAAACTATAATAAACCAAGGAAATGTAACTTAGAGTTAAAATTAAATGAAATACAGACCAAAGTCTAAGATAATAAAATGTATTTGATATTATGGTATAACTTCCACACATAAAGCAATGGGCTATTTGCCCATCTGCCCGGTTGAATACTTCTACATTTTAATTACAGTTCGTACTATTTAATATTACAAGATTCGCTTCTCATAACCGAAGGCCAAAATTATACCTAAATATAAATATCAAATAAATTGCAAGACATTATGAGCATACATATACATAATTCCTATTTTTTAAATACCTAATCCATATTCGTATAGGTATAATATAATAATAATATAGTAATATAAATAATAATAAATAGCAATATATAAACAATAAATATAATTAACAATAATATTAATATAGATTGTAATAATAATCCATATAGATATTTCGGAATTCTTTTAGCACGGGGGATGTGCCAATGAAATGTATTGTTTCTTCTATTTCTTTTAAGTTGCACATAAAACAGAATAGTCGATCTTCAAATATCTTAATGGAATAATTTAATCCTAAGTGCTCACTGCGAAGTCAAATTATGGTATTCATACGATGTTTTTTTCGTTAGTTGTTAATATGTTTGTCATTGAGTTGAAAATTTAATTCCTTATATATAAAATTAGATTTTCCAGAAGCTATTTT